GCTGCCCTGTGCAATGGGTTTGACAAAGCACTGGCTGGGCTCTGCTGCAGAGGAAGCCAATATTTGTAATAACACCCATGTGGATACCAGGGCTGCTCTTGGCACACTCTCTTTTTCTGTGTTAGACCTGGGAATGACTCAGATTCTGTGCTGATCTAATTTGCCTTTGATTAGTGTTTAGTTTCTGTCAGCAAACACACTCTTTTCACTCTCCTCAGTATCTCTGCATTTTTCTTATAACAGTGTCCAAATCTAAAGACAGAAATTTTAAAAGACATACAAGTACACAGTTGTGAAATTGCTGGTGATGCTACTGAGCTGTAATTTTATTAAAGATGAACTTACATTCATTGACTTCAGTGATGATGCTGCTTGTAAGTGAAAATTCCCTGGGCTCCCATCTGGGCTCTTTCTGCTAATGTGAGTAAAGAAGTTGCAATTTTTTAATAGACAGAATATGCCCACTGGCTTTTGTATTTTAAATGAAAGCAGAGAAGAAGAGTTCCTGCATTGAGCTGATAAACTGAGGCAGTTGACAAATCCAGGGCACTGGATTTTTGTTATTTACCTTGTTTACCCTGAAGTGCAATAAATACTAACCAGAGATGGTAAAGAAAATTTCTGTTAAAATTAAGGATATTCAGTTTTGAGATGGTTTAATTTCTTTTATCAGTGTCAGAAGGAAGCTTCACTTTTAAGTAAACACTTAGTGGGCTGCATCTCTTGTTCCCTGTGCAATTTTGTGTGTCTTCATCACCAGGGGCTTTATTTAGCCCTAAACTGGTTCTTTGAAGGGGTTCATGGACCAGAGGTGCAGAAGCACTTGTAAGACTGGTATCTAGCCTCAAGCCATTCTGGCTTCTCTACATACATATATCTAGTTTAGACATAAAGCTATGCTTGTCAGAAATTAATTGTGATGAAGAACATGTCACAAGTACCAACCAAACAACAATAAGCTTTAAACGATCTGAAGGTTGATTAAGCCACATAATGAATGCAAGCTTCCCAGGATAGGCACCAGCACCTGCCACCACTTGCTTCCAGTGGCACATGGAAAGTTCTGCCTTTCTAAAACATTTCTCGCTTATAACACCTCCTAATATTCACAAGATCACACTTAGCAGTTTCAGCTGTAAATAGAGATGCATTTGTTGGGGTTTCTTCCTTCACCACCTTTGATTTTTTTTAATCTCAAACTAATTATCATCTTCTCTTCTACTGTCAAATAAAAACTGGATACAGAATAAACAGGACTAGAATGTCCTGTCCATTTCAAAGCTTGCAGACTTGCAGTGCTTGTTTCTGGGCTAAAACTTCATCCAGAGACATAAAATCCATTTGGCAAATAACCCATGATGCAAGATAAAGTGAGGCAGGAGCCTGCTGCAGGTGCCTCTGACTTCCTGGTGTGAGTGTTCCTGCTCTGAGAGCGCTGTGAGTTGTGGCGCTGTCCTCAGACTCTTGTGAGAATTGGCACCTCCTGCCTCTCCTGTGCCCTCCTGCCAGGCTGAGTGACAGTCCTCAGTGGGCAGGAGGAGCGTAAGGGGAGCACAGTTCGTGCCTTGGACTACGGGAGGATTGCTGAGCTTCTGGCTTCTGCCTTCTCCCTGCTCAGAATATTTCCCAAGAGAAAAACTTCTTCCTGGCATGGCAAGTGGGTAAGAGACAATCATACTAATTCTCCTCTAACAGCAGGGTAGGGGGGATGGGATATATTTTTCTGTAAAAAGGGTGAATATTACATGACATGCAGCACAGCAAGAACCTTCTTCCTCTTTCTGTTCTGTTTTACTGACTCACTGTAAATCGGTGAGGCTACTGAATCTCTAGCTTAAAATAAAGGTGATGCTAAAATGAGATTATGCTTAAATATAGTTGGTAACTCAGAATCAGTTCTTCAAACATCAGCTGCCTGCCCAGGACCTTGACAGATTGTTTCACTCTCATGTTTTCCCCTTGACATTGCCTTTTCCTTTCCACATACAAAACCTGCCTTACGTATCTTTTGGTATTTCAAATACCAGCTTTAAATGGAACAAAAAAAAATATCACTGGACTTAAATAGAAGACATAGACACTGGCATAAGATGAAAATCTAGAGAATTGTTTCTATCTTCTGTTAGCCATAAAAGCTCTCACATGTATTTCACAACATTTGAACCAAGTTTTTTAAATGATTGGAAACTTCTTGTAAGTGGCTGCTCATCAGGTGTTCCAAATTCTTTTCTTCTCTGTGTAAATGTTAAAGGCTGTATAAAATTACATGCCATTGAAAGGATCTTTGAAAGTAAATTTACTTTGGACAAGGTGTTCAATCAGACTTTATTTGCAGAGCTTCATGTGACCCATTTGCTATACCTGTTCGTCTTGCTCTAATACTCTTGACTTGCTCACATTATTTGTCACTGACCTTTAATTCTTTTCATGTCTTGAATAATTTCTGATTTATAGTAATAAAGTCTTCTGCTTGGAGCACTGTTTTGGGTAGAATGAAGAATAAAATTGAGATTCTTTGACTCTAAACACACTGCTGGTGCATCAGTTGCTATTGCAAAGAGCCTCTCCCAGGTTTTCTCAGCTCTTAAAGTGCAGACTGAGTGTTGTTACTGGGGTGGTGCTTTGCTCACGTAAGCACATCCAAGCAAGGCTCCAACTGGACAAAATCCAATTGGCCAGACACAGAAATAATTAATTCTATGTGAAAGCATAAATCTAACAACTCAGAGCTTTCACAATAGGAAAGGGATTGAGAATCGATGATAAGAATCTATTTTGAGTCACCCATGTCACTGTGTTGCAAACCAGGGACTAAATACACAATACCATTTTCCAGGACAACCTTACCTACATGCTGGTGTGTCATGGATTTCCATGAAGTTGTTTGGCATCTTCTCATTGAAGTTGTCTCAGCTGGTATGTGTCAGCTAAGTTTATGGCCCTTTTTAAAGAGATACTATCCAGAAAGAGTTTTTACAAGATGACTGTATAAGTTGCTAGACAAGTTTTTTGCTTTGGCCCTAAGTTGCAGCATAAACAGGTGCTCTCTCCATTTGGAAACTAAAGGGACAACAAAAAGGAGAGGAAAAGTCCACGATGATATTGTGGTAGCACCTAGCAGAGATAAAGGACAGTAAAGGCTTTTACTTCATAAAATTTAGTGATTTCAGTTTTGGGACAAGTTTCCTGAACAGAGAAATACAATTAGTAGAAGTATATTTATTGAAAAAAAATGAGGATTGAAATCTGTAGGTACACTCTTATTGTAACCCTCTCCTGAGTAGACACCTTTAGCTCATGTGATATTTCATAATATTTCTAAAGCAGAGCCCTACAGTGCTTTATAAACAGTGACAAATCTGCTAAGAGCAGACTGAGAGCAAGCGAGTATTAAAGAGATGATAGATCTCTCCTAGATAGGTGATACTAAAAGATATGTACATAAAATACTGTATCTGTGAAACCAAATATTATAATAAAACCCGAGTGACACCCTCCCTAATGTTACACATACCTTGGATGTTCAGCAGGCAGCAGACTCCTCTTCACTAGCAGTAGTTACTTCCAAAGTGAAAACTCTATTAAACATAATATGATGGTTCTCCAACAGACAGGATAAGCTGATACAGAGGAGCAGACAGCAGGACAGTCCAGAACACAGCACAAAAGTGATCCAATAAAATTAGGGCAGTCCAAAGTAAAGGCTTGGAGTTTGAAAATCATCTCCAGTACTGTTCTGTGAGCTCACCAGTCCTGTCATTTGGCCTTCAGTTGAGCTGCTGAAGTGAGCAGTTTTCTGTCTGGTGTTGGTTTGTAAGCTCTTTTGAGAAGACCTTACTCTTTGTTAGACTTCTGAGAGAATATGGAAGCACAGCTGGTAAAACTGCTGCTGCTGGTGGCTTCTGTGGGAGCTCCTGGGGACATTGAGCAAGGGCCTGGTTTGGGCTGCCCAGCCAGTGCTGACATTGCCCCACGAGCCCCACTTACTGTACAAGCAGAGCCTGGGGTTTGGGCAGGGGCTGAATGAAGCTCCTCTGTGACAGCCTCCTTCTTCTCCCCTGTGAGATCCATGCCAGTACCTGTTCCAAGCACAAATCTTCCTTCACATTCCTGTTTAACCCTGGCAACAAACATACCCTTTGTCTCACACACACTAGAATTTCTAATAATCAGGTACTGATGCCTGTTCAAGCCCAGTTAAAAATTCAAGTGATCTTTTAGATTTCCCATCCACAGCTATCCCAAAGTACCAGAGAACCCGAGGGAAAATGGACCATCAGTGCCTCCAGAGTCGCCCAGGAACACAGTGGCTCAGATCCACAGCTGCAGGCAGGCTGGGGCGTGGCAGCTGCTGTAGTTGTGCTTATCTACCCTGCCCTTGAGCCTTTGCCCCAATCTTTGTTTGCTCTTCCTGCTAGAGAGCATGGAATTTGCCACTGGCAGGAGGACGCAGCGAGTTATCTCTATCCTGGGCAGAGCAGAAGGAGAAGACTTAACACTAATCAGAGGTTCAGAGCTGGGCTTGAATGTGCCTTGGTTCAGTCTGGGAAAACCAGTTGTTAAAATCATGGCAGGTTGCCCCAAGTGCTTTTTGAAAGAAACACAAATTGTTGAAAGATTTCTGTACTTTTCTTCTTTTCTGTAAAACATCTTTTTTGGAGGAGAATTCAAAATTATCAAGTGGTTCTTCTCTGGGCTTTGATGCATGTGCTGGTTTGTAACTGATTGATTGCACTGTCAGTTAATTAAAGATTAATCCACCTCTTTTTTCCTCCACTTGGTTGTCCTGATCCCCTCTTAATGTACTTGAAACTGGAGCTACCTCTGGGCACTTCATCACAATAACAACCTGTCATGGCCAAATATCAGGCACCCACAAGAATCATTCCCTCACCCTCTCCTACCACAGCTGGGCAGAGGAGAGAAAAAAAATTAACAAAGGGTTTATGAGTTGAGATAAAGACCAGGAGAAAACACTCCAAGGCCAAAACAGGCTCATCTTAGAAGTAAAAAATTAATTTATTACTAGCAGAGTCAGAGGAAGATAATGAGAAGCAAAATAAGACATTAAAACACATTTTTCTCCCAAGCCCCTCCCTCCTTCCCACCAAAAAGTGCAGGGAGACAGGGCATGGGGGTTTTTGGTTAGTTTATCACCCAAGATCTTCTTCTGCTCTTCAGGAAGAGGAGTCCTTCCTCTGTGAGACTGTGGGGTTCCTTCCCATGGAAGACAGTTCTCAATGAACTTCTGGGTCCAAATCTCATGAGCAGCAGTCCTCCCAAAACTGCTGCAGAGTGAATCTCTCTTTCCATGGAGTGCAGTCCTCCAAGGACAGGCTGCTCCAGCCTGGAAGCAAAGGCTCTCTCTCTCCACCAGGTCTTCCACTAGATCACAGCTTCCTCCAGGCATCCACCTGCTCCAGTGTGGGCACCCACACTGTGGGTGGATCTGTGCATCCCCCATGGATCCCCATGGTCTGAGGGTGGATCTCTGCATCCCCCATGGATCCCCATGGTCTGTGGGTGGATCTCTGCATCCCCCATTGATCCCCATGGGCTGCAGGGGCACAGCTTCTCCACCATGGTCTCACCACAGTCTGCAGAGGAACCTTGGCTCTGGCACCTGGAGCACCTCCTCCCCGCCTTCCACACTCACTTCAGTGTCTCCATGTTGTTTCCCTCACATATTCTCACTTCCTCCTCTTCTCTGGCTGGGAATAAAACTGTGCCAAATTTGTGTTGATTTTCTTCTCAAATCTGTTATCACACAGGCCTCATCACCATCACCTCTAACTGGCCCAGCCTTGGCCAGCAGCATGTCCTTCTTCAGAGCCACCAGGCACTGGCTCTGCTGGCCACAGCAGAAGCTCCCAGTAGCTTCTCGCAGAAGCCACCTCTGTGTCCCCACCAGCTACCAAAAATCAGGCCATGCAAAACCAACACACAACCCTACCTAAATTTTGTTGATAGACAAATGGACAGACTTCTGAAAACTGTACCCTATTATGCAGGACAAGACTCCATTAAAAATTAGGGAAGGAGAAGTTTGGGTAGGTATGTGCATGAGAGATCAGTGCATAAGGGATTTTTATTGCATGCAGACACAGCATTTAGAGCCTTACTTACCCTTTGTCACCACTACCTTTATGCTGGCATAATCACATGGCAAAGGAAAACATTCTGTGTGGAATCTTGCTTGAAGGAAGAAGGGAAGAGTTTATAAGATTGCTGCAAGAAAAGCATCATAAGGGAGAATTTTTTTGCTTCCTGTTCTGTTGGCAGTGTTGCTGCATGCTGGAAACAATCTCCTGCTTGCCTCTGGTTTGTGCACAGAATCCTTGGGAATGAAACACCACCATCTTCCTTTTTATTTCAGTGAAGAACCACAGGAACACTTATCAACACAGACTTTGTTGTCTGACAATCTAAGGGAAGACTCAGGTTTTCTTACAGTTTACCTGCATTCATTAAAAAGGGACGTGGACCATAAGTATTGTAGTTTTTACAGCAGTACTGACAGGAAGATGTGGGGAGAAACAGAAAGCTGATGCCAGGCTGATATCCAGAATATGGAGTGGCATTAGAAGACTCTAGAAGTGACTTGCAGAAATAGCACATGCCTTTTTTTGTGCCTTACATGTATTCCTCTGTATTTCTTGGCAGGAGGGCCTTTAATCGTGAACTTTCTAAGCTCTTCAATGAGATGTGGGATGCAGATGTTCACCGCCTGAGGCCTGGGAAAGACTACACAATTGATGTGCAGGTAACCAATTGCTAAGTCAGGATTAAGGGCAATGTGGTGCTGCAGGAAAAAGTTTTTTGCTTAAAACGTTGCCTGTGCTTTGTCATGTCCAGTGGGGAAAGCATTCCTTAGGAGAGGGAATGGTATGGAGAACACAGATGGTTCACACTTACCTGGACTTTGGTTACAAGTGGAGTCTCTCAGATGTTTGTCTTGGGTCCTGTAATATTTCATCTCTCTGTCTGTGAACTGGAGGAGGAACTAGCCTGCAACTCTTCCAGTTTTGCAGATGACAGCAAACTGTAGTAATGACATTGGTATGATCAGATACAGGGCTTCTCTTCCACTGGACATAGGCAAGCTGGAGGAATATGCTAAGAACATAATGAAATTCAACAAAGACAAAGGAACAAGATGCCCAGAGAAGCTGTGAAATCTCCATCTTTGGAGCTTTAAGACCCAAAAAGATGATACCGAGAAATAATCTGAATTCAGTGTTAACCACACTTGGAGCAGCACTAGAGATGTTCTTCTCCACCCTGTGGGTTTCAGTGTGTGAATGACAGCTTGTGCATGTGCTCTGGGTGACTTGCAGCAAGGGAGAAAGGGAGATAGGCCCCAAATCATTCTTAGGAGAATAAGGGAGGAATTTGAGAAATTCCTGGGTTTCTCTGTGAGAGCAGGGAGTAGCAGAGAGGGGTGGGTGAAGATTTCAGGACTGTTTCTTCCAGTCCCAGGGAAATGTGAGGGAAGAGTGAGAGATTTCATAAGCAGCCATTTCACTCCTTGCTCGCTCAGAGCATTGCAAACATGACCATGTGTTTTGGCCACAAATTGCAACAGGCCAGAATATTCACAATCCAGTTTTGTACTCACACAAGAACCCACTTTATTCTGATGTTACTCAAACACTTTATTCCAATGGTGCTTCTTATTATAACAGATAATTTCCTGTTGCTGATAAACTCAAAATAGTGGTACCTACCTCAAGCCAAAACGTGTGTGGGGAAAACTTCTCCCATATGGTTTCTCCATTTGTCAGAACAAGGCTCTAGGTACCTCTTGCCTGTGTTGACAAGCTGCTACTCATCTTCTATCTTCTTTCCTTGAGAATGCCCTTTATAAAATAAAAAATTTAAACATTTCAGGAAAGCCTCCTTAAAACTGCAGAGACAGAAGGTACCCAAATCTCCTGTTCATTTATTTGTGGTGGGAGGGAGCCCTTGCTCTACATTACTTCTGGTTACCATTTGTGATTTATATAGCATAATGACACAGCTGGTTACTGAGCAGAACTGAACTATCACATGGGCCATTACAATAATCTCTGAGTAAACAGAAATTTCAGGCTCTTCCAGATGTCAGAGATTGTCTTTTTTCTTAATGCTGGCAGTTCTGTAATATTGTCTCTCGTTTCACAGGAAGACAATTCCTAGCAAAGAATCCTGATAGCATTATGGGGTTTGGTTTGACTATAACAAAGGCAGGTACTGTCTCCTCAAAGGACATCTTACTCCTTACATTGTTTTCCCCTTTTTTTCCTAGGGAAAAGCAGGTCCAGCACAGCCAGGTGACAGTGCTGTCCAGGATAATGCAGCCAGACATCTGTTTCACAATGTAAGCGAAGAACGCCTGAGGAGCATAAAAACTTTTGCAAGTGAGACCTGTTCTTTTCTTAATGGTGGCTATGATATAAAAAAAAAAAAAAAAATCTGTGCAGTTTTTGACGTGTTTGCCTAAAATATAACATTATATTTAATTCGGATGGTGGTGAGGATCATCAGACTGCAGGTTGTTTGAAGGGAGTTTTCGTAACAGTTGCTTGGAGATTACCTGTACCTGAGCCACAGGAGGAACATCTTTTTGTGCTCCCGGCAAAATCTGAATTATCTGACTCTTCCACTACAAAGTAAAAGGGAAGAGATACTTACCAGCTCGAGAAGTGGCCCAAGGGCATCTCACAGGGTTCAACATGACCAAGTCTTGGTGCTGCACCTGGGTTAGAACAGCCTCCTCCAGGCTGGGGATAAACAGATCCAGAGCAGCCCTGGCAGAAGGACTTGGGGGTGCTGTGGGTCAGAGCTGGCCCTGCCCCAACCCAGAGCCCCCCTGTGCTGGGCTGCACCCAGAGCCCCAGGGCAGCAGGGCAGGGGGGATTCTGCCCCTCTGCCCCGCTCTGCTGAGACCCCCCTGCAGGGCTGCATCCAGCCCTGGGATCCCAGCACAGCAAGGACAGGGAGCTGCTGGAGCCAGGCCAGAGCAGGGACACCAAGGGGATCAGAGGGATGGAGCAGCTCTGCTGGGAGGAAAGGCTGAGGGAACTGGGATTGTTCAGCCTGGAGAGGAGAAGGCTTTGGGGTGACCTCACTGTGGCCTTGCAGTGCCTGAAGGGAGCCCACAGGAAGGATGGAGAGAGACTCTTGACAGGGGCCTGGAGTGACAGGACAAGGGGGAATGGCTTCACACTGACAGAGATTAGACAGGTTAAGATTAGAATTTAGAAAGAAATTCTTTCCTATGAGGGCAGTTGAGACATAATGGTGAACAGTTTGTCCAGAGCACTGCACCATCCCTGGCAGTGTCCAAGGCCAGGCTGGATGGGGCTCTGAGCAACCTGGGATAGTGGATGGTGTCCCTGACCATGGCAAGGAGTTTGAACTGCATGATCTTTAAGGTCTCTTCCAACCCAAACCATTCTATGATTCTATGCATTGAAAAAGATACCAGATTCATCTTTGCTCCTTTACTCACAAATTCCAAGCCCTTTCAGATAGTACCAGACCCACAGCTAGGTCTTGCATTTCTGTTGGAGGCTATACTTCAGCCATGCCTATGAATATATATTTCCTTCCCTAATTTTGCTCAAGCTCAAGACATCAGATATAGGTTTATGCTCTGTTATTCCTCTACTGAAATAATGCCCACAAAACCTTGTGCCAGCATAGCTCAAGGTCCTAAGCCTGTGCCTATAATTGTGGTGGGCAGGCGTGATTTGTTTTGGTAAAAGGTCATTATTTCTTCAGCGCTTGGCTCCATAAGGAAGCTCAGTAGCTGTTTATCTTTTAAAAGGTCTATAAAAAGTACAGCAGTGATCTGGCCTTGAGTCACCTTGAGGCCTACACTTAACACTATACCTGAGAGTAGAATCTGACATGTAAAGGAATGGCTTTCTCTAAGGACTGTCAAGGCATATTCTATGGTGACTTTTTATGATGGCATTCTAATGTCTGGATCAGGCATATGACCAGACTGAAAGTTTCACTTTTTCTGCAGCCTTTATTTCCTTATTGGACAACTATGAGACATCAACTGGTATAGCAGAAGTAGTGACTCCAGAAGAAATAGCTGAAAACAATTCTTTCCTTGATGCTATCTTAGCAACAGAAGTCATGAGAGTGAGTAACAGAGATCTTTTTTGTCACTGAAAACACTGATTAAAAAAGTAAACTGTATATGTATATTCGTTTTCTACCCTTCAGCTAGCTCATGACTATCTGCTGAAAAAAAACCTAGCAAAGCCAAACCTTGCTGATTTCAAACATCAGCTTTATGACATCTGGTTCCAGCTCTATGCCAGGAAAGGAGACAGGTATGTTTGATGGGTGTGGGAACTGATAATCTCTGTGATATTCTGATTAAGGTAAATACAAGCCCGAGTGCCATCTCCTACACACAACTGGAAAACAGCTTCAGAATGGCTTCAGAATGACAGTGAGCAGGTTTAGATTGGATATGAGGAAGAAATTGTCCCCTGTGAGGGTGCTGAGGCCCTGGCAAAGGTTGCCCAGAGCAGCTGTGGCTGCCCCTGGATCCCTGGCATTGTCCAAGGCCAGGCTGGATGGGGCTCTGAGCAGCTTGGGATAGTGGAAGGTGTCCCTGCCCATGGCAGCGGGTTGGAACGAGATGGGCTTTAACATACCTTCCAAACCAAACCATTCTATGGCTCTATGAAACATACAAAAGACCTGTATATTCTTTTTTTCTTTTTTTTTTTTCTTAATTACAGACCTGATTCTTGTGGTTTTGAACACGTTTTTGTTGGAGAAACAAGGCATGGTAAAGAGATCTTAGGTTTGCACAACTGGGTGCAATTTTACCTTCAGGAAAAGCGCAATCAGATTGATTACAAGGGATACGTGGCTCGGAAGAACAAAACCAGGGTAAGAACAAGCCTCTGGGGGCCTTTGCAAGTAAAGCAAATTGATCCAGAGATAAAAGTTGTAATGAAACAAATGTAATAATGCAATCATAGGCTCAGTGTTTTGAACAGCACTAAGTATATACAGTACATAACTGTATATAAGAAGAATGAATAATAGCATGTCTTCCAGCTTCTTTTTTTGCAAAAACTGTTTTAAAAAGTAGTGCTGGGTTTTACAGAATTGCAACACTGCTAAGGCTTAGCTGGGATAAATGGTCATGTATGCTTCAGAGGTCAGGGAAAAGGTTGTGATCCATCTATAGTATTGAGGCACACCAAGGATGACTAAATCTTACAAAGCTCTCAAAAATCTGGAATCAGAAATTCTATCTGTCCAGTCACAGCTGTGTTGGAGATTATTCTGTTGTTTCATTTATGCTTTCAGCCTGATAAAGATGACCAAGTTTTGAGCATCCAGTTCAGCTGGAAGGGCTCAGTCAAGCCAGTTGGAAGCACCTTTATTGGTGTCAGCCCGGAGTTTGAATTTGCCCTTTACACAGTCATTTTCCTGCTGTCTGAAGAAAGAGTCACACGTGAAACAGTGAAGATAGACGAGTACGAGCTACAGGTGGTTGTCTGGCGCCATGGGCCCCACATTGGAACAGCATATCCAGTACTGCTCAGCACCACTAGTGAAGATTAGTGGAGAGAGCAGGAAACTTCTTTTTTTTAAATCGAGGGAAAGACGGAGTGGTGGAGAGAGGAGGAATGGATGGGGGGTGGACAGGACCAGACAGCAAAGTTAATATGTTGCTTTATACAACTCATTTCAAGTAAAAATGGATGACTCCATCTCTTTTGGTCTGCAATGGAGTGTTTAATAAGTAGTGTGCTGTGACACTGTCTGAGAAACCATGAAACATACTCCTGCTAACATTAAATTTACATCTAAATTACATCAGTCTTCCCTTCTGCGTGGTAGCACTGTACTTTTCAGCAAAAAATGGCATTTAGGAAAAGATTCTATTAAAATTGATATACATCTTTCTCTTATTTGTTAGTCACTGCATATCTAAAAGAGCAATAATCACACATTGCTTACACTTTACCTTCCAGACAGAAGCTTTGATTTGGCACAGGCAGAATTCCAGGATGTTTTAGTCTCCTCTTCTTATTTCATAAGAGGTTAATTTCAAATGCATTATTACAATACAATGACCTGGACACACAGGGAACACATTTAGATGGGGAGATGACCATCAGCTCCACAGCAAGCCTTAAAATATTTTTTGTTTCTTTAACACAATTTTCATATACTCCCTTTGCATTCCTGAAACACCTGGATGACAACTTCATGCTACAGGTACTAAGAGGGCTGACTCAGAAAGATACCCCCCCTCCTTGATTTATTGCCTGTCAATACAGTGGAGCTTGTGATCCTCTTGAGTGGAGATTGATGGCTGTCTTGGCCACAACGACCATGAAGCCATCAAGTTTAAAATCTCCTGTGACAGGAGGAAAAGTGCCAACAAAACTTCAACCCTGGGCATGGGAAGAGGGACTTCAGCTGCTCAGGGAACCAGTAAGAAAAGTCCCATGGTGTAGTGGTTTTGGTTCATCAATTTGAGATTTTTCAGATCTTGAATTTGAGATTTTGAGAAAAAAAAAAAGAGATATTTTTTTTCCTCAAAATTTGAGATTTGATTTGAGAACCAACACACCTGGGAAAATGGTTTTAAAGGTTCTGGGGTTCATCAGTGCTGGTCACTTTTTAAGCACCAGCTCCCGAGGGCACAGGAACAGGCAATTCCTTAAAATGGGAAATCAAGCAGATGAAGCAGAAGGCCACCTTGGCTGAACAGGAATCTTCTTTTGGAGATAAGGTAAAAAAAGAAGGTGTATGCCCAGTGGAAGCAAGGTCAGGTGATGTGGAAGGAATACGGAGATCCTGCTCACCACTGTAGCGGGAGAATTTGTGTAGCCAAAGCTCCATTACATTTGAAGCCACCAGAAATGCTGGGGACAATAAAAAGATGTCTTTAAAAATACATTAATGGTAAAAGGCAGTGCTGAAATGACGTCAGCCCATTACAGGATGAGGATGGTCACCTCACAAACAGGGCCATGGACAAGGCAGAGATGTTTAATGCTTTCATTTCCTCTGTCTTCAGCACTGATGAAGGACTAGAGAGGTCCCAGCACCCTGAGCTAGAGGACTGTGACTATGACAATGATAAACAATGAGTTAACCCTGAAGGTGTGAGGGATATGCTGCTCCAGCTGGATCCCTATAGGTCTATGGGGTATGACAGGATTAATCTGAGAATCCATAAAGATCTGGCTCATATCATCGTGAAGCGTCTCTTGATAATTTTCTAACAGTCTTGAGAATCTGGAGAGATCCCAGTTTTCAAAGAGGGCAAGAAGGATGACCCTGGAAGCTACAGGCCTGTCAGTCTCACTCCAGTGCCTGGTAAAATTATGGAGATGATTATGATTATTCTGGGATGTATTGAAAAACACCTGAAGGACAACACAGTCATTGGTCGCAACCAGCACATCTTCATGAGAGGAAGGTCCTGCTTTTCAAAAATAATTTCCTTTTATGCTAAGATAACCCACCCAGTGGATCAGAAAACATCGGTAGATGTAATCTTTTTGGATTTCAGTAAAGCTCTGGATACCGTCTATCTCAGTGTGCAGCCCACAGCTGGATAAACACATTTTGTGATGGCTGAGCAACTTGCTCACAGGTCAAGCACACAGAATGACAGTACCTGGGTGACAGCAGTCCGGTAGCCTATCACTTGTGGGGTTCCACAGGGCGCCTCTTAGGCCCTGTGCTCTCAAAAATCCTCATAAAAAGCTTGAATGCAGGACAGGAAGGGATACTAAGTAAGCTTGCAGATACAAATACAAAACTGGGAGGAGCTGCTGACTTCCTCAAGGGCAAAGAGACCCTGCAGAGAGCCCTGGATAAATGACAGGGCTGGGCAATCACCAAGTGGGTGAAGTTAACAAAGCCAAGGCCTGGATTCTGCCCCTGGGACAGGACAGCCCTGGATGTACAGGCAGACTGGGAATGAGAGGCTGGAGAGCAGTGCTGTGGAAAGGGACCTGGGGGTCCTGGTCAGTGGCCAGATGGACAGGGGCCAGCAGTGACGTGGAGCCAGCATGGCCAGCCAGGGCAGGGACGGATTGTCCCGCTCTGCTCTGGGCTGGGGTGGCCTCACCTTGAATACTGAATACTTTGTATAAGAAAAATCTAAAAATGTTAGAGTGTCCAAAGTAGGGTTTTGGAGATGGTGAAGGGCCTGGAGGGGAAACCACACGAGGAGCAGCTGAGGGCACTTGGTGTGTTCAGCTGGAGAAGAGCAGACTGAGGTCAGAGCTCACAGCAGTTCTGCAGTTTCCTCACCAGGGGAAGAGGAGGGGCAGCTCTGATCTCTGCTCTGTGTGACCAGGGACAGGAGCTGAGGGCACGGCTGGAGCTGTGTCAGGACAGGGTTAGGGTGGATATCAGGAAAAGGTTCTTCCCATAGAGGGTGCTGGGGCACTGAACAGGCTCCCCAGGGAATGGTCACGGCCCCAAGGATGGCATCGCATGCGCAGGGCGTGATTGTTAGAGTGTCCTGTCCCCAGGCACGGCCAGGGGTTAGACCCAGGATGGCTGTGGGTCCCTTCCAACACAGAATATTCTGTGAAAATTTCAAATGCCACGGAGAGCTAAACAGAGGCTCTTACAGCAGTTGAATCATCACAAGGGGCTGCTCAGGCTGGGATTCACAGGACGAACCACTGGAGAACAGCAAGAGAGCACCAGCCAAGGGATGCGATGAATGAGTTAAACATTTCCCTGGCCCTGAAGGACAGCAAGAGAGGCTGAAGCCAGGTTCTGCTGTAAATTTGAAACACAAAGGATCTGAGTCAGATATCAGGAATATCAGTTTCAAAACCACAGAGCTGTCACACAGAACACTGGCTCTGGGGACTAAAAACCAACTCAGGGGGAGGTCAAAGGCACTCGGTTTCCTTCCGCCTGGGGAACATCCCTGCAGCCAAGGGCTCCAGGTCACACTGCACGCCTGGACACCTCTTCAGAGTCCTGCTTCATCTTTGCATAGGTGGCAGGGCAGAACTGGGCATAGAGCTGAGCCAGCAGAGCCTGGGAGGGGATCTCTAACTTGGTCCCGTGGCTCAGTTTGTTCCAAATGTGCACTGCATAGGTGTTCTTAAGGAGTTTCTCAAGCTCTAAGGCACTGACTGCCTCAAACAACTTCTTCCAGTCCTGCCAGGGAATAGGATAAACAACTTCTTGGGCAAGAGCACTCACACCTTTGCAGTTCATACTCTTGAGAGTCCCGAGGGAGCACCACTTCTTGAAGACGCGAGTTAGGAGCCCTGGGCCCTGGTGCCCCCAGACCCAGCCATTGTAATTCTGCACAAAGTCCTGCATACAAAGCTCCATGAATTTGTGCTTGGCCTTAAAGGACAGAAAGGCCCCATTCAGTTCATGGTCATCCTGAATCCCAAGGGCATTGGTGAGGTTCTCTAAGTTCTTCAGCACAATGAAGTCTGTATCCAGGTAGATGCCACCAAATTTCCACATGAGGACGATTCTGCAGGCATCAGAGAGAACATGTAAAAAATGAGGCTCCTGTTGCCGCTGAGGCTGTGAGAACCACAGTGCCAGAGGTGTTCCAGAAAAGAGCTCTGTCAAGTCCAGGGGCCGGATTTCCACGTTGGGGAAGCAGCTCAGCAAGGAGAAAGCCCAGTGCTCGGGTAAGGAGGTGTTCCCTTTGGCCAAGCCTTTCATGAGCACCACAACTCTTGACGTGGGGTGTCTCCTGGCCACTGACTCCACAGAGCACGAGAACAGGTAACTTGGGGAAGTTTGCTCTGAGGTCTCCACAAAAAACACGTTTCCTGTGGGAGGAGAGGACCCAGCAGCAATGTCGAGGGCAGAAGGCACATAGTGAGCACAGCTGATCTCAGCAGACAAGCCGTAGGTGGGGGCTCTGCTCTTTGGGTCCTCCCAGACGCCCCAGTACAACTTGGTGTAGGCAAAGGATACAAAGCCAGCAATGAGGATAAACAGGGCCCAGGGCTTGTGGCTGAGCACCACCCTGGTCAGCTTTTGGAGGCAGCTGGGCATCCTGAGCATTCTTTCTCCAGCCAGAGTATGCTCTCCCGAGACAGCCATCATGATCTGAAGAAAGGGAAAGAAGAGAACAACGTGACAGAAGAGGCAGTGGAGTATAAGCCTTCCTTTACAGGTGTGTCCCAGCTTCAGAGCAGTGCTCAACAAACTCTGGGAACACCATTAGGGAGCTCATCTGTCACCCTCTAGGAGTTCAGGTCACTGGCAACATGAGACATGAGACACATACACAAAGCCCCTGGTAGGAGGAAATATGAACATTTTTATGACCAATCCTGGTGTCCTGTCAACAGAGACTACGTGGAGCAGCTGCCCACTGACATCTGGTTATCATGAGAGGAGCTGTTTTGTCCCAGTACAGAACGTGTCCTTCCCCCAAAACAAACACAAGCTCAGCCTTCCAGTTGTTGAGCCAGCAGTTGCTGCCTTTCCAAACCAGCCACCCACCCCTGCAGAGAGCCTGGCCCATTACTGATGGCAGTGGAGCCAGCAGGATGGATGGAGGCTGGGAAAGGAACGGATGCAGGGCAGCTCAGGAGGCAAATGCAGACAATAACGTCATGAACTGCCTTTGGAAAGGGAGTTCCAAGGCTGCTTCCCAACCCTGCGCAGGCGACGCTGGCTCTGCCCTGCTCAGTTCTCCCAGTGGATCCTGCTGGTGGACAGGCAATCCCCCTGCTCTCCTGTCCTTACTTCCTCTCTTCTTCTGGCAAAAGGGAGGGATGGAGTGGAAGAGATTATTAACAAGGCAGCAACAAACAGATAAGTCACTCTAGCTCCATCCCCAGCGTTAACATCAGCATTGCTGCCCTTGCCTCTCCTTATAGCGAGGGGCAGCAGAAGCAGCACGTCCTGTGCCCACCACTGGGCCCCAAAGGCCAACAGGGAAGGGCACATGAAGAAGCAGTGAGGAAGGTTGTTGCTTTTCGGACCAGAGGAAATGCTCTTAAGTTGTGCCAAGGGAAGTTAGAGTGGACATTACTATGAATTTTACTTCCTGGAAGGGTTAGCAGGCATTGGCACAGGCTGCCCAAGAAAGCGGTGGAGCCACTGTCCCTGGAGGCATTTAACAGACATGTAGGTGTGGCCCCTAGGAACGTGGTTTAGCGCTGGACTTGGCTGGTTGTGCCCAGGCACTCAAAGGTCTCTTGCATCCTAAGAGATTCCATCATTTCTCCTGCCTCCCTGAGCTCCATCTCCAACAGCCCACCCTCCAGGACAGAACGGCTCAGAAAAGGGGAAAAGCTTTGATCCAGCAGCTGTAACCAAAGTGGCAGGGAACGTGACAAAGCACCCAGCTGGCACAGTCCCATTTGTCATTGCTCCTTGAGCACTGTGCCTGGGTCACATACGGAGCTTCCCCCATGGCCAAAAATGCCTTGTCGGCCGCACTGGGAGGCACCCAAATGTCAGAGCATGGAGCCACCACTCTGCACCAGGCACTGGGGGACAGAGGAGGGGCAGCCACTGGACAAATGATCAGCTCTGGATCCACAAAAAGGTTTCTCCTCCCGCACAGAAATGCCAGTTTGTGCTGCCACTGCTACAGGCAGCAAAACCCAGCCCACCCTACCTTTTACAGACCCCTTTACATTCCCCACCCTGCACACACCACAGCTGGGTTAACCCGGTAAATAATTCTTTGCTTTGCAAGCACAAGAAGAGAAAGCAGTAGAGGCTTACCAGGAAGTTCCTATGCAGCAGAGGGGCACGAAAGTGCCACATTAATCTAACCACGAGCAAGGCTTGCGGCTATTGTCACATTTTGAGCAAAGGACAGAACTTGACTACCGTCACACCCCTATAAAGTTAGAAATACATTTCTGCTTTTGGAGCGGACAATGCCAACGCTTTAGTCGTTGCATTAGCCAGTGCAATTCTATTACAAAACAAACAGAGGAAGCCTGGCTCCATTTCTTCCTCTGAAAACACAAGGGCCATAGCAAAGAAACTGCAAACTACTCACCTCTCCAAGCTTTCAAGACACCACAGAATTCACAGATCAGCTGGAGAAGAGCTTTAAGAGGTAGGTGTCTCTGAGTGCGCCTACAATTCTATGTTCGGGCACTTCCTCTTTCTCAAAAGAAATTACAAGGGAAAACGTCTGAATACGTGGAAAAACACAATGGATAAAGGATGTGACATCAGACATTTATCCAATGAGCTGCTCATAAGAAGGCTGTACCTAGTGCAGCAAAGAACCCGTCCAAATATAAAGTAGTCATGGAAAAAAACAATGAAATTCAAATGTCACTGTCACTAAGCTTTCAACTTTAGTCTGTGGCAGGAAAAATTTTGGTTTTGTTTTCTCTTTCTTCGCTAAAATGTCCAACTGCTCACACTGCTTCTGGGGCTGCTGTGATAGCTGAGCTGAGCCTTCCATAGAGCTGCCTGCTCCCACCCCAAGCCCTAAGTACAGAATGCCCCCTTGGAAACACACACTTTTAACCAAATGCTTTACTCCAGGGACCTCACTGAAGGACTTTGCCACATTCAGGTGTCTCTCTTTCTATGCCAGCTCCCCCTTGCCCCCGTGATCAGGGGTGGCTGACCTTCCCTAGCATGAGATATGCTGGCACATTCATAAAATCCATCCTTTATCAGTAAAGCCACTTAATTCATGGAATTTCAGTATTTTGTTCTCAGCTGCCTGTAAGAAATGATGCCCTGTAGTGCCCCTGACCTTTCTCCTCTCCCCAAATCCTTCCATGCACAGCAGCACCATGGATGGACTCCTGACAACTTTTCTCCCAGCAAAGGGACTCCACAACCACTCTGGGCTACCTGATCCAGTGGTTCACCACCCTTCCTTTCATTCTAACTTCCCACACTTCAATGTGTGCCCAGTGTGTCTCCTGCCATCTCTGCATTGAGCACAGCAGAGTCTCACTTGTGTCCTTCACCCACCCACCTTCAGCCACGTGTTTCACAGCCTGACCAGACAGCCCAGCCTGCTCTAGTGCAAGAAAAGTCAGCAGAGCCCTCCCAGCCTCTCGTCATGCACCATGTGCTCCAGTCCCCTTCTCACCTTAGCGGCCTTTTGCCGGACTTGCTTCAGTATGGACACGCCTCCCTCATCCTGGGATTCCAGAACCAGCCTCCAGGCATCCCTCACCAGTGCTGAGTGATGGATTTGCATTACGGATAGATGGGTGACCCCACAGAATCCACTGCCTACGTCCTCAGTGACATCTTCATCTTACCAGGTGTCTGCTGGAATCCCACCCAGCAGACAGGAGACCCTCCAGGAGCTTCCAGGAGCATGTGGAAGAGAACTTGCTGACACAGCTGGCAGGCAAAGCCCACCAGGGATGGTGTCCCAGGGGATCTGCTGTTTGCAAACAGAGGAGCACTGGTGGGAGAGGAGGTTGCCAGGGGCCATCTTGGGTACCGTGACCGTGACACAGTTGGATTTCAGTTCTCAGTGAAGGGAGGAAGGGGGTCAGCAAAACCACAGCTTAGGTTTGTGAAGGACAGGCTTTGGTCAGTTTGGAGCACAGGTGGAGAGAATCCCTTGGGAGGCAGTCCTGAGGGGCCAAGGAGGCCAGGAAGGTGGACGTTCCTCAGGAAGGAGGTCATAGAGGTGGAGCAGAAGCCCATTGCAATGTGCCGTAAGCTGGTTCAGGGAAGGCTGGCCTGCGTGAACAGCAAGCTTCCACTGGGACTCAGGGAAGAACAGAGAGTTAAGGAGTGCTGGAAGAAGGGTCGGGGAACTCAGGAAAACTACAAGGATGCCATGAAGTTAATTAGAGAGAAAACTACAAAGGTAAAAGTCCAGCTAGAAGTCAACCCGGCCACCAGCATAAAAGTTAGGAGAAAAAGCATTTCCAAATGCATTAATGACAAAAAGAGGCCAAGGAGAGTCTCCATCCTTTATTGCATGCTGGGGTGGGAACATGACCTCCAGGGATGAGGAATAGGTTGAGGTACTCAATGCCTGCTGGACCTCAGCCTTTAACCAAAAGCCTAGTCGCCCTCTGCATATCCAGCCCCTTGGCCAGATGACAAAAACAGGGAGCAGAACAAAGTCCCCACACTGCAGGAGGAAGTTGTCAGTGAGCTGCGGTGCTGCCCAGACGTGCACAAGTCTAGGGAGATGCCATCCCTCTGCTGGGAGCTGCTGAAGCAGCTCACAAAGGTCCTCTCGCCATCATTTATCAGCACTCCTGGTGAACCGGAGAGCTCCGGGGTGACTGGAGGTTGGCCAATGTGACACACCCCTCCATGAGAAGCCTTGGAAGGACAACTGGGGGAACCAGAGGCCTGTCAGCCTGGCCTCAGTGCCAGGGAAGGGTGTGGAACAGATTAGCTGGAGTGCAATGACACGATGTGTGCTGCACCACTGGGGCATCAGGCCCAGCCAGCACGAGTTCCAGCAGGTCCTGCCTGACCGACCCAACCTCCTTCTGTGAACTCCAATGGATGGGGAAAGGCTGTGGATGTTGTGTACCTGGGCCTCCAGGAAAGCCTTTGCTCGCTGCTCCCACAGCGCTCTCCTGGAGAGCATTGTCCTTGCAGCCCACGGATTTAACAGCTTCCCTGTTTGCTGGGAATAAACTGCCTGGATGGCTGGGCCCAGAGAATGGTGGTGGAATTAATCCAGCTGGCAGCAGGTCACTGGTGCTGTGCCCCAGGGCCCGCTGTCAGAGCCAGCCCCGGTTCATGTCCTTGAGGCTCAACAAGACCTGAAGTGCCGGGTCCTGCCCCTGGGTCACAACCCCCAGCAGCTCCAGGCTGGGAAAGAGTGGCTGGGAAGAGCCCAGCAGGAAAGGGCCCGGCCCTGCTGCTCCACAGTGCATGGCCAGGTGGGCGAGAAGGCCAAAGGCTGCTGGCCAGGGCAGCAATGGTGCGGCAGCAGGAGCAGGGCAGTGACCGTCCCCCCTGTCGTGGGCACTGGGGAGGCCTCAGCCCAAGTGCTGTGTCCAGTTCTGGGCCTGGCACTGCAAGATGGACATGGAGGGGCTGGAGCGTGTCCAGAGGAGGGAACGGAGCTGGGCAAGGGGCTGGAGCACAAGGCTGATGAGGAGCGGCTGAGGGAGCTGGGGCTGTTGAACCTGGAGGAAAAGGAGGCTCAGGGGGGACCTTATTGCTCTCCACACCTCCCTGACAGGAGGGTGCAGCCAGGTGGGGGTCAGGCTCTGCTCCCAGGGAACCAAGGACCGGATGAGGGGAAATCAATGGAATGGTCTGGGTTGGAAGGGACGCTAAAGATCATCTTGTGCCACCCCTCCTACCATAGACAGGGACACCTTCCACTATCCCAGGCAGCTCCGAGACCCATCCACCCTGGCCTTGGACACTTCCAGGGATAGGAAGCTTCTCTGGGCAACCTGTGCCAGGGCCTCACCACCTTCACAGGGAAGAATTGCTTCTTCATATCCAATCCAAACCTGCTCTCTGTCAGTGGGAAGCCATTCCCTCTTGTCCTGTCACTGCAGGCCCTTGCAAAGAGTCTCTCTGCACCTTTCCTTTAAGCTCCCTTAAGGCACTGGAAGGCCATGATTATATCACCCCAAAGCCTTCTCCTCTCCAGGCAGAACACTCCCAGTTCCCTCAGCCTTTCCTCCCAGCAGAGCTGCTCCATCCCTCTGATCCTCTTGGTGTCCCTGCTCTGGCCTGGCTCCAGCAGCTCCCTGTCCTTGCTGTGCTGGGATCCCAGGGCTGGATGCAGCATTCCCAGCACCACGGTAGGTTCAGCTCAGATATGAGGAATAGTTTCAGCGTGCTTAAGCACTGTGTGCCACAGGCTCCCAACTGAAGCGATGGAGTCAGCATTCCTGGAAGTGCTCCAAACAATGAGTACACATGGCACTCTGGGATAAAGGCCAGTGAGTATGGTGATACAGAATTGAAGCTTGGACTCGCTGGTCTTGGAGGTCTTTTCCAACCTTCATATGCTTGTGAGTTTTTAGTTTTGTCCCTGGGGACACTGCTTGGAGTCCTGCACCCGGTCCTCCTGTTGATGTGGACATGTTGTCCTCTGGACTTCCACCATGGGCTCAATGTCCCAATGAAAGGGATGTAATCCTCCTCACAGCACTGCAGAAACAGGCAATGCTGAGCCCCTTCAGAGTGGGACAATGGCTGCTTAGATGTTGGTATCCACAAGAAATACTTCAGCAGAGCAAGGACCTTAATAATTTTTGCTCTTTAAGTAACTGCTTTTGTCTATTTGTTTTCCGGAGGAGTCCCAGACAAGTCATCCCACTGCTGGGGAATCAGAAGCAGTAGGAAGCAGCATTTGAACTTTTCTCACTTAAGAAGTTTAGAACAACTTCACACTGAGCTGCGCAGGGATCTCAACTGTTTTGCTGCTTCTTAAAGCAAATTTCATATACGCTTCATGTATTTCCCCACGTGTTAAGAATCTTTGCCAGCCATGGAATTCTGCTCTGAGCCCCAGCAATCTGTGCCCTTTGGCATTGCCTGGTATCGCTCCACAAACTCAGAAATGCCACAGAGAGCAAGCCAAGGGTTCCTACAGCTGTGGAATCATCACAAGGGGCTGCTCAGGCTGGGATTCACAGGACGAACCACTGGAGAACAGCAAGAGAGCACCAGCCGAGGGATGCTGAGCAGCAGGTCCTGTGAAGGACAGCAAGAGAGGCTGAAGTCAGGTTCTGATGTAAATTTGAAACACAAAGGATCTGAGTCAGATATCAGGAATATCAGTTTCAAAACCACAGAGCTGTCACACAGAACACTGGCTCTGGGGACTAAAAACCAACTCTGGGGTAGGTCAAAGGCACTCGGTTTCCTTCCGCCTGGGGAACATCCCTGCAGCCAAGGGCTCCAGGTCACACTGCACGCCTGGACACCTCTTCAGAGTCCTGCTTCATCTTTGCATAGGTGGCAGGGCAGAACTGGGCATAGAGCTGAGCCAGCAGAGCCTGGGAGGGGATCTCTAACTTGGTCCCGTGGCTCAGTTTGTTCCAAATGTGCACTGCATAGGTGTTCTTAAGGAGTTTCTCAAGCTCTAAGGCACTGACTGCCTCAAACAACTTCTTCCAGTCCTGCCAGGGAATAGGATAAACAACTTCTTGGGCAAGAGCACTCACACCTTTGCAGTTCATACTCTTGAGAGTCCTGAGGGAGCACCACTTCTTGAAGACGCGAGTTAGGAGCCCTGGGCCCTGGTGCCCCCAGACCCAGCCATTGTAATTCTGCACAAAGTCCTGCATACAAAGCTCCACGAATTTGTGCTTGGCCTTAAAGGACAGAAAGGCCCCATTCAACACATTGTCACCCTGAATCCCAAGGGCATTGGTGAGGTTCTCTAAGTTCTTCAGCACAATGAAGTCTGTATCCAGGTAGATGCCACCAAATTTCCACATGAGGACGATTCTGCAGGCATCAGAGAGAACAGGTAAAAAATGAGGCTCCTGTTGCCGCTGAGGCTGTGAGAACCACAGTGCCAGAGGTGTTCCAGAAAAGAGCTCTGTCAAGTCCAGGGGCCGGATTTCCACGTTGGGGAAGCAGCTCAGCAAGGAGAAAGCCCAGTGCTCGGGTAAGGAGGTGTTCCCTTTGGCCAAGCCTTTCATGAGCACCACAACTCTTGACATGGGGTGTGTCCTGGCCGCTGACTCCACAGAGCACGAGAACAGGTAACTTGGGGAAGTTTGCTCTGAGGTCTCCACAAAAAACACGTTTCCTGTGGGAGGAGAGGACCCAGCAGCAATGTCGAGGGCAGAAGGCACATAGTGAGCACAGCTGATCTCAGCAGACAAGCCGTAGGTGGGGGCTCTGCTCTTTGGGTCCTCCCAGACGCCCCAGTACAACTTGGTGTAGGCAAAGGATACAAAGCCAGCAATGAGGATAAACAGGGCCCAGGGCTTGTGGCTGAGCACCACCCTGGTCAGCTTTTGGAGGCAGCTGGGCATTCTTTCTCCAGCCAGAGTATGCTCTCCTGAGACAGCCATCATGATCTGAAGAAAGGGAAAGAAGAGAACAAACGTGACAGAAGAGGCAGTGGAGTATGAGCCTTCCTTTACAGGTGTGTCCCAGCTTCAGAGCAGTGCTCAACAAACTCGTGGAACGCCATTAGAGAACTCATCTCTCACCCTCTAGGAGTTCAGAGTTCTAGACACATGAGACATGAGACACGTACACAAAGCCCCTGGCAGGAGGAAATATGACCATTTTTATGACCAATCCTGGAGTTCTGTCAACCAAGACTACATGGAGCAGCTGCCCACTGACATCTGGTTATCATGAGAGGAGCTGTTTTCTCCCAGTACACAACGTGTCCTTCCCCCAAACCAAACACAAGCTCAGCCTTCCAGTTGTTGAGCCAGCAGTTGCTGCCTTTCCAAACCAGCCACCTGCCCCTGCAGAGAGCCTGGCCCATTACTGATGGCAGCAGAGCCAGCAGGATGGATGGAGGCTGGGAAAGGAACGGATGCAGGGCAGCTCAGGAGGCAAATGCAGACAATAACGTCATGAACTGCCTTTGGAAAGGGAGTTCCAAGGCTGCTTCCCAACCCTGCGCAGGCAACGCTGGCTCTGCCCTGCTCAGTTCTCCCAGTGGATCCTGCTGGTGGACAGGCAATCCCCCTGCTCTCCTGTCCTTACTTCCTCTCTTCTTCTGGCAAAAGGGAGGGATGGAGTGGAAGAGATTATTAACAAGGCAGCAACAAACAGATAAGTCACTCTAGCTCCATCCCCAGCGTTAACATCAGCATTGCTGCCCTTGCCTCTCCTTATAGCGAGGGGCAGCAGAAGCAGCACGTCCTGTGCCCACCACTGGGCCCCAAAGGCCAACAGGAAAGGGCACATGAAGAAGCAGTGAGGAAGGTTGTTGCTTTTCGGACCAGAGGAAATGCTCTTAAGTTGTGCCAAGGGAAGTTAGAGTGGACATTACTACGAATTTTACTTCCTGGAAGGGTTAGCAGGCATTGGCACAGGCTGCCCAAGAAAGCGGTGGAGCCACTGTCCCTGGAGGCATTTAACAGACATGTAGGTGTGGCCCCTAGGAACGTGGTTTAGCGCTGGACTTGGCTGGTTGTGCCCAGGCACCCAAAGGTCTCTTGCATCCTAAGAGATTCCATCATTTCTCCTGCCTCCCTGAGCTCCATCTCCAACAGCCCACCCTCCAGGACAGAACGGCTCAGGAAAGGGGAAAAGCTTTGATCCAGCAGCTGTAACCAAAGTGGCAGGGAACGCGACAAAGCACCCAGCTGGCACAGTCCCATTTGTCATTGCTCCTTGAGCACTGTGCCTGGGTCACATACGGAGCTTCCCCCGTGGCCAAAAATGCCTTGTCAGCCGCACTGGGAGGCACCCAAATGTCAGAGCATGGAGCCATCACTCTGCACCAGGCACTGGGGGACAGAGGAGGGGCAGCCACTGGACAAATGATCAGCTCTGGATCCACAAAAAGGTTTCTCCTCCCGCACAGAAATGCCAGTTTGTGCTGCCACTGCTACAGGCAGCAAAACCCAGCCCACCCTACCTTTTACAGACCCCTTTACATTCCCCACCCTGCACACACCACAGCTGGGTTAACCCGGTAAATAATTCTTTGCGTTGCAAGCACAAGAAGAGAAAGCAGTAGAGGCTTACCAGGAAGTTCCTATGCAGCAGAGGGGCACGAATTGCCACATTAATCTAACCACGAGCAAGGCTTGCGGCTATTGTCACATTTTGAGCAAAGGACAGAACTTGACTACCGTCACACCCCTATAAAGTTAGAAATACATTTCTGCTTTTGGAGCGGACAATGCCAACGTTTAGTCGTTGCATTAGCCATTGCAATTCTATTACAAAACAAACAGAGGAAGCCTGGCTCCATTTCTTCCTCTGAAAACACAAGGGCCATAGCAAAGAAACTGCAAACTACTCACCTCTCCAAGCTTTCAAGACACCACAGAATTCACAGATCAGCTGGAGAAGAGCTTTAAGAGGTAGGTGTCTCTGAGTGCGCCTACAATTCTATGTTCGGGCACTTCCTCTTTCTCAAAAGAAATTACAAGGGAAAACGTCTGACTACGTGGAAAAACACAATGGATAAAGGATGTGACATCAGACATTTATCCAATGAGCAGCTCATAAGAAGGCTGTACCTAGTGCAGCAAAGAACCCGTCCAAATATAAAGTAGTCATGGAAAAAAACGATGAAATTCAAATGTCACTGTCACTAAGCTTTCAACTTTAGTCTGTGGCAGGAAAAATTTTGGTTTTGTTTTCTCTTTCTTCGCTAAAATGTCCAACTGCTCACACTGCTTCTGGGGCTGCTGTGATAGCTGAGCTGAGCCTTCCATAGAGCTGCCTGCTCCCACCCCAAGCCCTAAGTACAGAATGCCCCCTTGGAAACACACACTTTTAACCAAATGCTTTACTCCAGGGACCTCACTGAAGGACTTTGCCACATTCAGGTGTCTCTCTTTCTATGACAGCTCCCCCTTGCCCCCGTGATCAGGGGTGGCTGACCTTCCCTAGCATGAGACATGCTGGCACATTCATAAAATCCCTCCTTTATCAGTACAGCCACTCAGTTCAGGGATTACTGCAGTTCCTCCTCAGCTGTGTGTAACTAATGTTGTTCTGTAGTGCCCCAGACATCTCTCGTCTCCCCAAATCCTTCCATGCACAGCAGCACCATGGATGGACTCATGACAGCCCTTCTCCCAGCAAAGGGACTCCACAACCACTCTGGGCTACCTGATCCAGTGTTTCACCACCCTTCCTTTCATTCTAACTTCCCACACTTCAATGTGTGCCCAGTGTGTCTCCTGCCATCTCTGCATTGAGCACAGCAGAGTCTCACTTGTGTCCTTCACCCACCCACCTTCAGCCACATGTTTCACAGCCTGACCAGACAGCCCAGCCTGCTCTAGTGCAAGAAAAGTCAGCAGAGCCCTCCCAGCCTCTCGTCATGCACCGTGTGCTCCAGTCCCCTTCTCACCTTAGCGGCCCTTTGCCGGACTTGCTCCAGTATGGACACGCCTCCCTCATCCTGGGATTCCAGAACCAGCCTCCAGGCGTCCCTCACCAGTGCTGAGTGATGGATTTGCATTACAGATAGATGGATGACCCCACAGCATCCACTGCCTACATCCTCAGTGACATCTTCATCTTACCAGGTGTCTGCTGGAATCCCACCCAGCAGACAGGAGACCCTCCAGGAGCTTCCAGGAGCATGTGGAAGAGAACTTGCTGACACAGCTGGCAGGCAAAGCCCACCAGGGATGGTGTCCCAGGGGATCTGCTGTTTGCAAACAGAGGAGCACTGGTGGGAGAGGAGGTTGCCAGGGGCCATCTTGGGTACCGTGACCGTGACACAGTTGGATTTCAGTTCTCAGTGAAGGGAGGAAGGGGGTCAGCAAAACCACAGCTTAGGTTTTGAAGGACAGGCTTTGGTCAGTTTGGAGCACAGGTGGAGAGAATCCCTTGGGAGGCAGTCCTGAGGGGCCAAGGAGGCCAGGAAGGTGGACGTTCCTCAGGAAGGAGGTCATAGAGGTGGAGCAGAAGCCCATTGCAATGGGCCGTAAGATGGTTCAGGGAAGGCTGGCCTGCATGAACAGCAAGCTTCCACTGGGACTCAGGGAAGAACAGAGAGTTTAGCAGTGCTGGAAGAAGGGTCAGGCAACTCAGGAAAACTACAAGGATGCCATGAAGTTAATTAGAGAGAAAACTACAAAGGTAAAAGTCCAGCTAGAAGTCAACCCGGCCACCAGCATAAAAGTTAGGAGAAAAAGCATTTCCAAATGCATTAATGACAAAAAGAGGACAAGGAGAGTCTCCATCCTTTATTGCATGCTGGGGTGGGAGCATGACCTCCAGGGATGAGGAATAGGTTGAGGTACTCAATGCCTTCTGGACCTCAGCCTTTAACCAAAAGCCTAGTCGCCCTCTGCATATCCAGCCCCTTGGCCAGATGACAAAAACAGGGAGCAGAACAAAGTCCCCACACTGCAGGAGGAAGTTGTCAGTGAGCTGCGGTGCTGCCCAGACGTGCACAAGTCTAGGGAGATGCCATCCCTCTGCTGGGAGCTGCTGAAGCAGCTCACAAAGGTCCTCGCGCCATCATTTATCAGCAATCCTGGTGAACCGGAGAGCTCCGGGGTGACTGGAGGTTGGCCAATGTGACACACCCCTCCATGAGAAGCCTTGGAAGGACAACTGGGGGAACCAGAGGCCTGTCAGCCTGGCCTCGGTGCCAGGGAAGGGTATGGAACAGATTAGCTGGAGTGCAATGACACGATGTGTGCCGCACCACTGGGGCATCAGGCCCAGCCAGCACGAGTTCCAGCAGGTCCTGCTTGACCGACCCAACCTCCTTCTGTGAACTCCAATGGATGGGGAAAGGCTGTGGATGTTGTGTACCTGGGCCTCCAGGAAAGCCTTTGCTCGCTGCTCCCACAGCGCTCTCCTGGAGAGCATTGTCCTTGCAGCCCACGGATTTAACAGCTTCCCTGTTTGCTGGGAATAAACTGCCTGGATGGCTGGGCCCAGAGAATGGTGGTGGAATTAATCCAGCTGGCAGCGGGTCACTGGTGCTGTGCCCCAGGGCCCGCTGTCAGAGCCAGCCCCGGTTCATGTCCTTGAGGTTCAACAAGACCTGAAGTGCCGGGTCCTGCCCCTGGGTCACAACCCCCAGCAGCTCCAGGCTGGGAAAGAGTGGCTGGGAAGAGCCCAGCAGGAAAGGGCCCGGCCCTGCTGCTCCACAGTGCATGGCCAGGTGGGCGAGAAGGCCAAAGGCTGCTGGCCAGGGCAGCAATGGTGCGGCCAGCAGGAGCAGGGCAGTGACTGTCCCCCTGTCGTGGGCACTGGGGAGGCCTCAGCCCAAGTGCTGTGTCCAGTTCTGGCCCTGGCACTGCAAGATGGACATGGAGGGGCTGGAGCGTGTCCAGAGGAGGGAACGGAGCCTGGCAAGGGGCTGGAGCACAAGGCTGATGAGGAGCGCTGAAGGAGCTGGGGCTGTTGAACCTGGAGGAAAAGGAGGCTCAGGGGGGACCTTATTGCTCTCCACACCTCCCTGACAGGACGGTGCAGCCAGGTGGGGGTCAGGCTCTGCTCCCAGGGAACCAAGGACAGGATGAGGGGAAATCAATGGAATGGTCTGGGTTGGAAGGGACGCTAAAGATCATCTTGTGCCACCCCTCCTGCCATAGACAGGGACACCTTCCACTATCCCAGGCAGCTCCGAGACCCATCCACCCTGGCCTTGGACACTTCCAGGGATAGGAAGCTTCTCTGGGCAACCTGTGCCAGGGCCTCACCACCTTCACAGGGAAGAATTGCTTCTTCATATCCAATCCAAACCTGCTCTCTGTCAGTGGGAAGCCATTCCCTCTTGTCCTGTCACTGCAGGCCCTTGCAAAGAGTCTCTCTGCACCTTTCCTTTAAGCTCCCTTAAGGCACTGGAGGGCCATGATTATATCACCCCAAAGCCTTCTCCTCTCCAGGCAGAACACTCCCAGTTCCCTCAGCCTTTCCTCCCAGCAGAGCTGCTCCATCCCTCTGATCCCCTTGGTGTCCCTGCTCTGGCCTGGCTCCAGCAGCTCCCTGTCCTTGCTGTGCTGGGATCCCAGGGCTGGATGCAGCACTCCCAGCACCATGGTAGGTTCAGCTCAGATATGAGGAAAAGTTTCAGCGTGCTTAGCACTGTGTGCCACAGGCTCCCAACTGAAGCGATGGAGTCAGCATTCCTGGAAGTGCTCCAAACAATGAGTACACGTGGCACTTTGGGATAAAGGCCAGTGGGTATGGTCATACAGAATTGAAGCTTGGACTCTCTGATCTTGGAGGTCTTTTCCAACCTTCATATGCTTGTGAGTTTTTAGTTTTGTCCCTGGGGACACTGCTTGGAGTCCTGCACCTGGTCCTCCTGTTGATGTGGACATGTTGTCCTCTGGACTTCCACCATGGGCCCAATGTCCCAATGAAAGGGATGTAATCCTCCTCACAGCACTGCAGAAACAGGCAATGCTGAGCCCCTTCAGAGTGGGACAATGGCTGCTTAGATGTTGGTATCCACAAGAAATACTTCAGCAGAGCAAGGACCTTAATAATTTCTGCTCCTCAAGGAACTGCTTTTGTCTATTTGTTTTCCGGAGGAGTCCCAGACAAGTCATCCCACTGCTGGGGAATCAGAAGCAGTAGGAAGCAGCATTTGAACTTTTCTCACTTATGAAGTTTAGAACAACTTCACACTGAGCTGCGCAGGGATCTCAACTGTTTGCTGCTTCTTAAAGCAAATTTCATATATGCTTCATGTATTTCCCCACGTGTTAAGAATCTTTGCCAGCCATGGAATTCTGCTCTGAGCCCCAGCAATCTGTTCTGTGCCCTTTGGCATTGCCTGGTATCGCTCCACAAACTCAGAAATGCCACAGAGAGCAAGCCAAGGGTTCCTACAGCTGTGGAATCATCACAAGGGGCTGCTCAGGTTGGGATTCACAGGACGAACCACTGGAGAACAGCAAGAGAGCACCAGCCGAGGGATGCTGAGCAGCAGGTCCTGTGAAGGACAGCAAGAGAGGCTGAAGTCAGGTTCTGCTGTAAATTTGAAACACAAAGGACCTGAGTCAGATATCAGGAATATCAGTTTCAAAACCACAGAGCTGTCACACAGAACACTGGCTCTGGGGACTAAAAACCAACTCTGGGGTAGGTCAAAGGCACTCGGTTTCCTTCCGCCTGGGGAACATCCCTGCAGCCAAGGGCTCCAGGTCACACTGCACGCCTGGACACCTCTTCAGAGTCCTGCTTCATCTTTGCATAGGTGGCAGGGCAGAACTGGGCATAGAGCTGAGCCAGCAGAGCCTGGGAGGGGATCTCTAACTTGGTCCCGTGGCTCAGTTTGTTCCAAATGTGCACTGCATAGGTGTTCTTAAGGAGTTTCTCAAGCTCCAAGGCACTGACTGCCTCAAACAACTTCTTCCAGTCCTGCCAGGGAATAGGATAAACAACTTCTTGGGCAAGAGCACTCACACCTTTGCAGTTCATACTCTTGAGAGTCCTGAGGGAGCACCACTTCTTGAAGACGCGAGTTAGGAGCCCTGGGCCCTGGTGCCCCCAGACCCAGCCATTGTAATTCTGCACAAAGTCCTGCATACAAAGCTCCATGAATTTGTGCTTGGCCTTAAAGGACAGAAAGGCCCCATTCAGTTCACGGTTATCCTGAATCCCAAGGGCATTGGTGAGGTTCTCCAAGTTCTTCAGCACAATGAAGTCTGTATCCAGGTAGATGCCACCAAATTTCCACATGAGGACGATTCTGCAGGCATCAGAGAGAACAGGTAAAAAATAAGGCTCCCAGTGCCGCAGTGGCCATAAGTACCACCTTTGCAGAGGCGTTCCAGAAAAGAGCTCTGTCAAGTCCAGGGGCCGGATTTCCACGTTGGGGAAGCAACTCAGCAAGGAGAAAGCCCAGTGCTCGGGTAAGGAGGCTTTCCCTTTGGCCAAGCCTTTCATGAGCACCACAACTCTTGACGTGGGGTGTGTCCTGGCCGCTGACTCCACAGAGCACGAGAACAGGTAACTTGGGGAAGTTTGCTCTGAGGTCTCCACAAAAAACACGTTTCCTGTGGGAGGAGAGGACCCAGCAGCAATGTCGAGGGCAGAAGGCACATAGTGAGCACAGCTGATCTCAGCAGACAAGCCGTAGGTGGGGGCTCTGCTCTTTGGGTCCTCCCAGACGCCCCAGTACAACTTGGTGTAGGCAAAGGATACAAAGCCAGCAATGAGGATAAACAGGGCCCAGGGCTTGTGGCTGAGCACCACCCTGGTCAGCTTTTGGAGGCAGCTGGGCATCCTGAGCATTCTTTCTCCAGCCAGAGTATGCTCTCCCAAGATAGCCTGAAGGGAAGGAAAGAAAAAAACCTGACAGAGGAGGCAGTGGAGTATGAGCCTTTCTTCATAGGTGTGTCCCAAATTCATAGCAGTGCACAGCAAACTCTGGGAACACCATTAGAGAACTCATCTGTCACCCTCTAGGACTTCCAGTCATTTTGAACATGAGACACATATGCAAAAAACTCTGGCAGGAGGAAACCAAACAAGTCGCTAACAGGACAGAGAACTCAGCTGACACAATCCTGTTTGTCATTTCTCCCTTGATCACTGTGTCTGGGTCACATATGGAACTTCTTATGTGACCAAAAAATGGCTTCTTAGAGGCAATGGGAGGTGTCCTAATGCAAGTCACTGTGACTTCAGGGACAGAGGAGAGGCAGCCTATATTTAAATGATCAGCCCTGGGTTGTCAGCAAGTTTTCTCTTCTGGCACAGAAATGCCAGCATGCGCTGCCAGTGCTACAGGCAGCAAAACCCAGCCCACCTTTTACAGACCCCTTTACATTCCCCACCCTCCACACACTACAGCTGGGTTAACCCTGTAAATCATTTTTTGAACTGCAAAAGACAAAGAGGCACAGACTTGGTGGGACAGAGACGGTGATGTAGAGAAGGCACAAAACTCACCTGCTCCTGCTTTCAAGACACCACAGAACTCCCTGTTCAGCTGAAAGGATGTTTAAGAAATTCAAGTCTTTGAGGATGACTACAACTCTATAGTCTGTCACTTGCTTTTTATGAAAAGGAATGGCGAGCATATAGAGGAAAAAAAAAAATGGAAGGATGTGACATCATACATTCATAATGAGTAGCTGATACAAAGGTCACAAAGATGCACCCTAAACAAACCAGTTAGTTAAAAAGTAATTAAAAAAAAAAAAAAAAAAAAAAAAGAGGAAATTGAAACCTTACTGTAGCTACACTTTGAGCTTGAGACTGGCAGGAAAATGGCTCGATTTGTTTTCTCCTCCTTTGCTAAAATTTCCTAGTACACTACTTCTGGAGCTGCTCCTGGAATGATAGCTGAGCTGAGCCTTCCATAGAGCTGCCTGCTCCCACCCCAAGCCCTAAGTACAGAATGCTCCCTTGGAAACACAAACTTTTAACCAAATGCTTTACACCTTCATTAGGGAATACTCCCTCAAACGCCAGGGACCTCACTGAAGGACTGCCACCTTCAGGTGTCTCTCATTCTATGACAGCTCCCCCTTGCCCCCGTGATCAGGGGTGGCTGACCTTCCCTAGCGTGAGACATTCTGGCACATTCATAAAATCCCTCCTTTATCAGTACAGCCACTCAGTTCAGGGATTACTGCAGTTCCTCCTCAGCTGTGTGTAACTAATGTTGTTCTGTAGTGCCCCAGACATCTCTCGTCTCCCCAAATCCTTCCATGCACAGCAGCACCATGGATGGACTCATGACAGCCCTTCTCCCAGCAAAGGGACTCCACAACCACTCTGGGCTACCTGATCCAGTGTTTCTTCCTTTCATTCTAACTTCCCACACTTCAATGTGTGCCCAGTGTGTCTCCTGCCATCTCTGCATTGGACAGAGTCGAGTGTCTTTTGTGTCCTTCAACCACGGAATCACAGAATAATGAGGTTGGAAGAGACCTCTAAGATAATCAAGTCCAACCTATGCCCTAACACCTCAACTAGTCTATAGCACCAAGTGCTATGTCCAGTGTTTTTTTAAACACATCCAGAAATGGTGATTCTACCACGTCTCTGGGAAGACAATTCCAATACTTTAACATTCTTTCAGTGAAAAATTTTTTTCCTAATATCCAACCTATACCTTCCCTGACGTAGTTTGGGACTGTGTCCTCTTGTTCTGTCAGTTGCTGCCGGGTGGAAGAGACTGACCCCACCCATCTGCAACCTCCCTTCAGGAAGTTGTAGGGAGCAGTAAGATCACCTCTAAGCCTTGTCTTCTCCAGGCTAAACAATCCCAGTTCCTTCAAATGTTCCTCGCAGGAATTGTGTTCCCAGCCCTTCTCCAGCCTCGTTGCCTCCTCTGGACGCGCTCAAGTGTCTCAACGTCCTTCCCAAACTGAGGGCCCAGAACTGGGCACAGCACTCCAGGTGTGCCCTCACCAGTGCTGAGCAGAGGGGAAGAATGACCTCCCTGCTCCTGATGGCCACACAATTCCTAATGTAGGCCAGGATGCTGCTGGCTTCTTGGCCACCAAGGCACACTGCTGGCTCATGTTCAGCCAGCTGTCGACCAGCACCCCCAGGTCCCTTTCCACCTGAACACTGTCCAGCCACACCGTCCCCAGCTTGTAATGTTGTAGGGGATTTTTGTGGCCAAAATGTAGAACTTGGCACTTAGACTTAATAAACTTCATGCTGTTGGACTCTGCCCATCTATCCAACTGATCTAAGTCTCACTACAGAGCCCTCCTTCATTCCAGTAGATCAACACAAGCTCCCAGCTTAGTGTCATCTGCAAATTTACTAATGAAGGACTCGATGCCGTCATCCATGTTGTCTATAAAAATATTAAATAGAACTGGTCCCAGTACAGAGCCCTGAGGTACCTCACTGGTGACTGTTCCCAGCTGGATGTAGCAACATTCACCACCACTCTCCTGGCCTGGCCATCCAGACAGTTCCTGACCCAGCGAAGAGTGCTGCCTAAACTGTGGGCTGTCAGCTTTTCTAGGAGTATTCTGTGGGATACTCAAATGCCAAAGGCCTTGCTGAAGTCTAAATAGACAACATCCACAGCCTTTCCTGCATCCACCAGATGGGTCACCTGGTCATGGAAGGGAGACCAGGTTGGTCAGACATGACCTACCCTTCATAAACCCCTGCTGGCTGGGTCTGATACCCTGGCCATCCTGTAAGTGCTGTGTGATGACATTCAGTATGAACTGTTCCATTACCTTACCGGGTACTGAGGTCAGGCTAACTGACCTGTAATTATCAGGATCTTCCTTCCTACCTTTTTTATAAACAGGTGTCACATTGGCCAGTTTCCAGTTGTCTGGAACCTCCCCAGTGAGCCATGACTCTTGAGCAATGACGCAGAGGGGCTTCTCAAGCTCATCTGCCAGCTTCCTCATCACCCTAGGGTGGATCCCATCTGGTCTCATTGATTTATAAATATCCAAGTGTCCCGGCAGTTCTCTGACTGCCTCTTCTTGGATAACAAGAGGACCATTCTGTTCCCTGGCACCACCTATCCACCCACCTTCAGCCGGGTGTTTCACAGCCTGACCAGACAGCCCAGCCTGCTCTAGTGCAAGAAAAGTCAGCAGAGCCCTCCCAGCCTCTCGTCATGCACTGTGTGCTCCAGTCTCCTTCTCACCTTAGCGGCCCTTTGCCGGACTCGCTCCAGTACGGATGCACCTCCCTCATCCTGGGATTCCAGAACCAGCCTCCAGGCGTGCCTCACCAGTTGTGAGGGGTCCACAAGGAGTGGTGGGCAAGGATCACCCCCCATGACCTTGCAAGATACACTCCACAGGCTGTGAGGACATCTGCTGGCTCCTGGTCAGCTAATGATCCAGGGGACCACCATGTCCTTTTCTGCTCAGGGCCTTCCATCAAAATGCTGACTATAATTTTCATGGCCTTGCTTGTTGGATTTAAAAGCCATGTTAGCCAATACATGGTTTGAAATATGTGAACAAAAAATGTGTCCAAACAAAAATTGCGAAATGCAAAGAGACACCTCACTGCACAACGTAAACCCTGATATAGAAATATCATCAAGGATCCCTTGTTCCAAGCACAAATGGATAAAACAAAGGAAAAAGACATAGGGCTGCCATCACAGACGATCTTTTAACTCCACCATGCTAAGACTGCCACCAGTCTGCTGCTCGTAGATCTGCACATGCTCACGCCTACTGTTAGTCCACCCTGCCCTGAGGAAAGTGATTTCCTGCCTTACATGACTAACAGTGCTTCACTGATATTTTCCTTGGTAGCAAAATCACAGACAGCAAAAGAGGGAAACAACCCAAACTAGATGCAAATTGAATCATTGAGGGTACAACATGAATTGTGCATGAAACCAACTTACATGAAGCCAAAAAAGCATCCTGCACTCCTGCCATCCTTAACTTTTCAAATTATAACAGCAGATATTCAGAAGTCCCTGAAACCTGGCAAATAATTCCTAACAAGAAAAAAACCTTGATTACTAAGTGATATTCTTATAAAACATCATATGATCTACATGACATACGATGTCATGTAGAAATAGTGATAACAAATGGAAGAAATTAACTGTAAAAATTCTTTAAGGCAATGCATTTGTGATGTTAGACAACAAAATGTTACATTCTCACTTTGCAATGAAAGCAATTAGGATTGTTTTTACATAATTACATTAGAACTGTGTAATTCTCAGAGTATGAGTTTTGCAGAAGGTCTCAAAACCTCCAAGCCTAAATCTTACCATACCAAGTAAAACGGTTTGTTTTAGCCAGAGGTAATCAGATGATTACAGGAAAACTGCAGCTGTCCATATCACAGAAGTGCAAGTGTTTTTTCAAAACCAGAATGTAAATGAAGGCTCTCAATAAGGACTTCACTATTGTTTCCCTTCTAGGATTTAATTGATACAGCTTATACCTAGGTAATTAGGAGAGCTAGCCTATGAAGCTGGATAGGCCTGCAAATTAGCAGAAAATTATAGGAAAGAGGGTGCAAGGGGATGATCTAACTATTAGCAATTATATGCGTATCTATTGATATATTATATACTATTAACTAAAATGGATTTGCAGTAATTCTTTGTTGTCCCTTAGAACATGCAGAGAAACTGGTTAGAGATGGTTTTGTATCTTGAGCAAGATGCTTTGCTTGATCCCAACATTTTCAAGCAATAGCTGGGCCCTCTTTTGGCCAAGTCAACTGTCATTCCTGCAGTTCTGGGCCCTAAAAATAACCTTCTGGGTTTAGGGAAAGTACTGCTGGGGTAGCAAAGCAGAGAGTGGCAGCTCTTGCAGCAAGGGACCCAGCCCTGGAGGAGCCTAGCCTGGGGC